GCTATATTAGAAATAATGTCGAACCATCTCCTGATAGCTAGCGTCTAGCCTACCGTCCGTCCCGGGTGGGGGAGGGGGGGTAAACCGGGTAAAAGAAAACTTTAAAAGATCCCGGAAGTCTTTAAAAAGGGCGTGGCTGACTGATTTTTAACACCTAAAAGAGATTGTACAACAGATATTGTTAAACTAAATCAGTCCCAGTTTGATTCATCTACAAAAACATTCAACATAAAGATCCAAAATATCTTTATGTCAATAACATTTAGTTCGCTATCTATCTAAAGTTTAGAATTACAAATTTTAATCGACTCGACTCGACTTGGTAATGGCTTTGACGCACCGAACACCATTCATGTCTCGAAGTTAGCGGCGTACATTGTAAATGTTTACAATTTTTGAAAAAGCTTTCTGCTATTATAAATCATTTTTATTGCCGCGAAAACAGGAGTTATAAATCTATTGGTTTTAAAAGGTGAGGGTGGATTTAGATACAAAAAATTGCTGAGAGAATCTTAGTTTTTTTTATGTTTAAACTAAAGACACTTTAAATACTGATCAAAAGTTGAAAATTCGCATCACAGCCCGAAACAAGACCTCAAGTTTCTCAACATTTAATGATTCCGCTGCACACGACAAATCAACCCTCTGACTCCTAAAGCGCCCGAAACCGCCCGAAACCGCCCGTTAGAAACGTTACTCCTCCGTTACTAGTTTTTTTAGTCAATTATATGTTTGTGAAAACGCTTTTTTTTTGGGGGGGGGCGCAAAAATTCAAATTCCCAAATTCAAAAGCGTCCTCATACAATTCTCTTAACTAAAGAGGTTTGATTTTCGCTTGCCCTTACGGGCTTGATGAACAACAAAAACAATTCTAGCAAAGTGTGAAAAGCTCGAACCTCTGTAACCAAGGTAGTTTTTAAGACAATATGTGACTGTTTTTAAAAATCTCTTCCTCGACAGTTTCCTTCCTGGTCTATTAGAACAATCGAGACTTAATGATTTATCGCCTCGCAAAGCTACAATATCACATGTGTAGGCGAGAACATTTCTCAACGAAGTTGGACTAGACTTTTGAATAAACAAGGAATAGGTAATTCCTGTGGTACTGAGATAATCTATTTTTATAGAGAATTGATACATCACATATCATTAAATTTTTTAATCAGAACGTGCGCTGTTTTGGCTGATGACCGCACTCGAAAAACTCTGAAAGCATTTATATAAAAACGAAATATATAAAATATAGACGGTTGTGTTTGTTTGTGTGGTGGGAAATGAAGAGCACTCGATCACATGCAAGAGAAAGCTTGATGTGTTTATATCCTATTTCTAATTAGGATTAAACTGTTTTGTAATTTAAGGCTGAGAAATACAAGATGCAAAAAATCTGAACTTGTGAGAAAAATGTGTTAAGGTTACCCCGGACACTACTGGGAGGTGTTTAAAAAAAAATCATATCTCTCGCGATTTAATAGGAAACCCGCAAAAAWCAWAMATTTTCTGAGAAACAAAATGACAAAGAATCCATATCTGGACGTATTTTTTGATAAAATTGATTATTTTAAAAGACATCAAGGACTTGACGAGAACACACAGTGTCTCCGTTTGCAGAACGTTTTACGTAGAAAGAAACTTTTTTGATAATCCTGCTGCAAAAGTGTGTCTGCGTTTGGCTTTTCAACGCTTCTTTATTTTTTTATTCGATTTTAAAGTTAGACGGCCCTATTGTACCTCATCCCTCACAAAACTGTTTATTTCTCGACAAAGAAAACTTAAAAAGAAAAACGCAGACACACTTTGAAAATTCAGTAATGTCCGAATCGATATGCAAAATTTAGAGGAAATTCGTCTGATAAGTTCTGCAAACGAACCGTTTGAATTTTAGTATTTTATCGAAATCTACTTTTACGAAACATGAAGTTGAAGTTTAATGGGATTAAAGGATTAGGGATCAAGTGTTGACAAGCGTACTCGTTCGGTAGCCAATAAGCATAAGGAAGAAATACGATACAAGAACGGTGGGAGAGCATATTCAGCGAACGTGACCTTGTTGTTTGACCTTCTTCGCGGACTGTGCAGCGAATAGTAATAATTTTCAGTAAGTTTTCTCAAAATGGTGAATTCCAAAGGCCTTGGCAAAGGATATTTTCAAGTATACAGTGGAATAAGTATCGCTTTGGTCTTTATATCGCTTGATGTGAAGTTTGTGATGTTATGTGACCCCGTCGTGCTTTCATAACGTGACTATTAATTCGCCAAGACTCACGATGACAGCCGCAGTCAGCAGTAAAACACGTTTCAGAGAACCTCAAAACGTTTTTTGTTTATAACTAGTTTAGAAAAAAATACATCGGCATAAACTTTAGTCAAAGTTGTAGATATACTTCTTTTAATTCSYTYAGACTAATTTAAAAATTTTGAAAGATTTGACGAAAATAGTGTCCGGGGTAACCTTAAATTTATGATAAAGATGAATAATAATGATAAAAAATGATTGATCCGTGTTTGACTAAATCTTCAATATGGGAGTAATATATATTAAAGATTGATTACTGAGAGTGAAAAATTAAATCAATGAATAAAAAACAAAGCAAATAAATATGATGAGATGAAAATTCCATTCCCAGAAGAAGTGCTTTGATCAAGAGGATGAGGAGGATACTTTTGAAGACAAGAAAATTTACTAAATTTATATTTTTGAGTGGCTCTTTCTAACTGGCTTATTTCAATTTTATGTACATAACGAAGTAATATTTTTAATTCTCACTTTAATTGGTTATCAATTGATGCAGAGAAGTTCTGGATCGTGGATAAGTGTACAATGTTCAATCGTTCCAACAACTGGCTACTTTACAAATCTTTTCCTTGATAGCTTTGCGAATGAACGATAATCGAAGTGATACGATGAATGGATTAACGATCGACTGTAAGTTAAAGAATGTTACTGCAAGTGGTACTGCTATAATCCTAAAATAACCTGTGCTCTCTAGTGTATTTGTAACGCTTAAAATCAATATTATGATAAAAGGAAAGTACAGAATGAAGTTTGCTAATACGATAATACCGATAGTCATAATTTGCTTGTATTCCTGATATCGTCTTTGATAATCCTGCTTGTGCTTGTCAGTTGCCTCTTTGAGTGAAGCTGCTGCCATTCTGCGCTTAACAATCTCTTTCATATGGCGGTGAGCTCTGAGCTGTACCTTTCCCGTGCAATATAAGGTCACCAAGACGTCTGCAATCATAATCACAAGGAATATAGCCCGGAGAGGTGTGAGGCCTACAGTGGATTGCAGCAAGGCACCTGTAACCAAAGCAACTAATACGAACATCCAAGTAACGATGGCTGAGAGCACGACGTGTTTGATGGTAATCTTACTATAGAAGAAAGGGTGTTCTACCGCAAGGTATTTCTCAATRCTAACCATCATCAAAGAGGAGGAGGTTAGCATGGCAGTTAGGGCTGTCATTGGTACACCAACCTTTAGGAACAGACACGGAAGCGTACAACCTCTTATCAGACATGCAAACAACCAAATACCAAGTGGTTGCACAGTTACGCTGACCAAAAGATCAGTGAAAGCCAGAGCTGCTAACAAGAGAGTTGACTTGTTTGACCGAAAGCTGACTTTCTCTAGCACAACCCAGATGATTAATAAGTTAATGACAAACATTATCGGTGTTGCGATGCAATGGATTACCAGAAAGGTGGTCCAAGTAGGTTTGTCCGAGCCTGGCAGACTTGCTACGTTGATGCTGGCGAAGATAGGCAAAGGTAAACATTGCGATGTTACTAAACTTGAATTAGTACTATTTACCATAATTGTAAACATTTAGAGTTGTTTTGCGAGGATAGCGCTAMATTTATATTGACTTAATTTATATGAGTGCTACTATCCCAATTGCACAATTTAGTTAACAGATTCATTGTTAAAAGCAGATATATGACGCATGTTGAAACAATGGCGCTACAAGAAATGTTAGTATATATGCAAAATTTCTTCGCTTAGCCATGAATTCAGTTTTATATTATTTTCGTTAAACAAGTGCTCAACTATGTCAAGAGGCATTGTATAAAATAAAAAATAAAATTGTACTTAAAGACTAGAATGATTCATTGTTTTATTGCTACAAGCTGGTTTCGTATATGGTCAACAGAGATGGTGAATTATTTGTTGTGTTATAAATTCAGTTTTCAGGAAGCAAAACTTTTGGTTTTCAAGATAATGAAGCTTTTTGACTCTTCGACTTCCTTAATGAAAACAAGAGAAGAATTAAAACCAGTGTAGGCGAGATTA